CTAACAGCTTTTCTTAAATTAAATGGGAGTAATCTTATTCCTCATCCACATGCATCCACACACACTTGACTGAAGCTGCAGAGCATGTGAAAGTGTAGTGGTGGTATCCACAGGCCCAGTCTCTTGGGTCTTTATGATGCTAATGTACTCTCCAGTCTAATAAATCCCTGTAGAGCTGCAAAGAGTAGATCTCATGGCTCACTCCGATCTCCACCTTCTTGTCCAACATGCACACAGGCAGTGCTATTACCATAGCAGAAGTGCCAGCCCTGCACCTCCACAGATACCTGGGTGGCTGTTTAGTAACAAAGAAATGGGAAGGTTTGGGGAAAATCAAACAGGAAGGTGCAAGTTAAGAGATGTCATAGTTGCATACTATTAGTGCCCCACAGTGAGGCAAGGCGGAGTAAGACAAATACAAAGATGCAAATTTAGTAAAAGTAAAAAGTTTTTAATCTTAATGTTCAACTAGAAGTCAGCAAGGTGATCCATTCATAGCCGAGGATGGCGCAGGGAGAAATGAAACTTCTCCTTCAACGAGAGCCCCCCCTCCAAAAAAAAAAAAGAAAAAAAAAAACATCCCTCCCTCAGTTTTCTTCTGGCTGCTGGGCTCTGCGTCCTCGCTCCCTCCTTCCCAGGGGACCAGGGTGTCAGTCAGCTTGAAGCCCATGGAAGAGAGGTGAGATTTTCTTTTTTTTTTTTGGATAGATTTATCTCTTTTTGTCAGAGGGGATGTGGAGAAAACTTTTATGCACACTGAGTGACATTGTGAAGTTGGTTAAAGGTTTATGTGTGGTGTCTTGAATTAAAACTTGCTGATATTACTTACTGATCCATCTTCCTCCGTTAAGATGCCGTCAGTCACAGTCGGCGTTATGATCTTTCCTGCCTGGGCCGCTCACTGGACATCCTCCCCCGATAGGCAGACCGGAACTCACACCAAACTCACACCGGCTTTTACCACATGGAAACGGGATAATTGTTTATAGCGTCAACAAGACCTGATGGGCCTATTAAAAAGTCTCATATTAATATGATAACATAACATTGATTTTAGATCCATAAATCATCAACACTGCAGATTTAAGTTTATTCTAAACTTTTGGTGGGACCTCTGAAATACTGATCAATTTAACAATTATATTCTAAAATTATTTACATTTTTACAAGAATTTGTCAGCACGCAGATTGTGTATTTTGGTACTTGTTTCCAGTCCATGCTACATATTACAACTCACATAAGCATTGCCACCACTCCTCTTCTCCTCACATTCTCTCACTAACTCGGTCTCCACACCTTTGCCACGCACTCCCTGTCCTTCTTCATTCCCACCTCTCCTGCCCCTTTTTATTTCTGCCGTTTCTTTGTCCATCTTCCTCTACATATTTAATACTCTTCGCTGACTCCTCTCAACCTCTCGTGCCTCTATTCCTGAAAGAAAAGGAGCTCAAATTGGCTGGAGAGATGAATAATGTCTCCACCATTAACAGTGGCATGGACAGATCAGTCTTTTCATGTGTATGAAGGTGAAGAGATGAGCTGCAGCAGAGGTGAGGACTGGGTGGTGGTGGAGGGGTGGTCTGTGGTCGGGGTCTTTATTGTTCTTTCTAACTTTGCTCAGACTGCAGCAGAGTAAGAAGGAAAAGAGAGAGAGGACATTTACTGAAGATAGCCTGCAGTCGGTAAGATGATTGTTGAGGAAAGTGTGGTTTTGTCTGTGAGCATGCATGTGAGCTGAAGGTCACAAGTTTTCACCTGTCTTTATCACAGAAATTTTGAATTTTAAAATCAGGACAAATCTATGAAAATACAATTGAATCTTTCACATTTGGGCCTTTTGAAACAGGCATCAAAGGTATATATTTTTGCAAGTTATAACAATATCCTCTAACATCATGAAAAATAAATCATAAACCAGTCCATCTTTTAAAAAAATTATTAAAGAAATTAACTTTTGCAGCAAAATAAATCTCATGTTCTTACAGTAATTTCTTCCCAGGTGCTATTAAGGAGGGTATTTCCTCCTAAATGGCCAGTAGGGGGAGGTAGTGATCCACAACACCGCCCTACACAGTTGAGGCAGAATACAAACAAGGCCTGACTGACATGTCTTAGCTGTGAAAATGAATATGTTGTTTGTAATTGTGGTGAATGTCATCCGCCGACAGTAAGAGCATCTGGTGCAACCTCTGTAAAATTAAGTCATACTGTCATCTCTAAATTCCACTGACAGCCTGTCTGGCTACATAATATACAAACTGTTGTTCAACTGTTTGAATGATCAGAGACGAAGCACAAATACTGCAAGATCTTTTAGGGACTGCGAGTTACTTGAAGAGGTGTTAAATTAAGTGTATCATTATTAAGATAAATAATACATCTGACAAAGAATTTGTCACATTTTGAAGGTTAACCACTCCATCCTTTTCCATGGCGGCTTATGAGAGTGATGAGTCCTGTATCAGGTCCTCAGTGTAGGTTTTTCAGACTTGAAATTTATCTTGAGTAGGACCTCAAATGATGAAAAAGACTGTCATCCCTGACAACCAAAAAGCCATGAAAATTACTGACTAACTAATGGTCTGGCCCCCAGGTTTCATTCTAGCCTAAGCCGCCAAGATCTATTTGTTCTTTTGCTGTGTTTGTTTCTCTATCTGCCAGTTCATCCATCCAGCAATCCGCTCATCCGTTCATCCATCCATCTTGCAAATCCTCTTCATTTCATTTGGCGCTGTTGTGAGGGAGAGGCTGTTTCAGTGAACTTAACAATCTGAAGGTCGCAAAGATTTGACTTTTTTCCCTCCATACCTCCCTGAAAAGCAGCATAGATTATACAGCCTACAGCTGTTATCACATTTATGCCCTTCTTCCAGCTTCTTTTTATTCTCATTCTCTCGTCTCCTGCCTTTCAGAGACCTGAAGATAACGGCACGCCACATGACGCCATTGTCCTCCCTCTCCTTCTCGTAGGTGGAGATTTAAAGTTCTGTTTTAAAACTGCCACTGCACCAATCCTACTTAACCCCCCCCCTCTACTTCTCTTGTCTCCCCCTTCCTCCTGAGTATACTACCTAACCCTTCTGAACTTCAGTCAGAGTTACTGAAGACCCAGAGTACACTGGGGAGTCAGCTACACCACTGAGAGAGAGACAGAGATAGACAGAGACTTAGCTGCCTGCTCTTCTACTACTCTCTCTGGTAATAAGAAAAGTTTCTGTTCTTCTCTGAGGTACAGCAGGGAGATAAAACTAGGGATCACTTACACTCACAAGCACTTTTGTGCACACTCGCATTTATATATATGTATGTGTGTGTGCTCAGAAACATACTCTCACACAAGATCTTGGAGAAGCGCCAACAGAGCATGAATTCAGAGATACGTAGATGAGGAAGACACAAAATGGAAACAAACTTGCACTCCCACGCATGCAGGCATCACTCTCGGATATATAAAACTCTTTTACACAAACTTGTGTGGACAAAGAGAACCAAAATACAAGAGAAGAGAAAAAGAAACAAGTTTAGTCTGTAAACGACTCCAAAACCTGATTCGAATTAGAGGGCGATTTCCACAAAGGTCAATGTATTCAGCTGATATCCTAAGAGGAGGAAATTTAATACCCCTTTTTGGTTGAATTAATTAATTATAATATTAGGCTAGCTCTGGGGGCCCTTTTCTTCAGTGATTAAGTGAGCACATATCTTTAAAAGACTGTGTTGGTCTCTGGGGCCCCGGGCTTCTGAACCTTGGGGTGAAACACGGAGAGATGTATTATACATGAAAGCACGGAGAAACAGACCAGCCCGCTCACCTCCATGGCAAGACACACCATGTTCCTTATTTAGATCTTTAATAATACTTCTGTTTTTCTTTCAGAGGCACTTTGCTGTCACCTCTTCATCCAACTCTGGTCAGTTCAGTGTTCAGCTCACCATGACTTAAGTTTAAATGTCCAAGAAAACTAGTTAGTTCTCTTTCCTACAGTTGGCCACCTGGCCTGCATCTTTGCACGTGTGTCAAGTATTTAGTAAGTATCCAGTTGGCCTGTGTATTTAGATCCTTAAGGATGCCGAAGTATAAACACACATCATGACAACTACAAATCCTGAAAGAAATGGAAATATCAGGAGCAAAATGTATTCAGGTGTCAAAAGTGAAAGTACTCGTTATGCAGAATGATCCCTTTCACGGTTTTAAATTATTGATGCATTAACCTTTAAGCAGCATTTTAATGTTGCAGGTCATCCAGGTGATGCTGAGATTAAATACATAGTATATGGGTATATATATATTTTAAATCCTATTTTGCTTTATATATGATCTGCCCCATTTTATTACTAGTTTGTCACACCTGCAGCACTTTGAACTGATCTAGGAGATATGAAATGTACTATACAAATAAGATTCTGTCTTATTTTTTTGAACCCATCTTATTACCAATATGACTATTTAGAGTCACTCGGACCATTACCATTACCAACTGCAACATTACAACAAATGCAATAAAAAGCCCTGTACAAATGAAATAGATTTAATTAAACCTATCTTTGTTTAGTGCATGTGCTGACCCAAGGATAAACCTCCTAGCTGTCAGCTATATATGTGTGTGTGTGTGCACTAGTGTGAGCAATGGGCCTTTAACATGACGTGTAAAAAGGTTGTTACTTAATGGCCGTTTTTCTTTCTAACAGAGGCTGAAGATGGAGACACGGAGGAAGGATAGCGACAACAAGAAGTTGATGACAGATGAGATGCTGCTTGGAGCGTGTGTATAAGTAAGAAATAAGCAATAAGTACATGTGGAATAAAGTTACTGCCTGCATACAACATCCACTTCCTTACATAAG